CTCATATAAACAGATGAGAAACCGCATCTCCGTTCATCACGGAAAGAGATTAATTTTTGATTTGATTTATAACAAAAACCAACACGCCCCCTCAAAAATTAATCGGTATTAAATTAAACTTATAATGCACCATAACTTCGAAATGAATGTACGAAATGAAAAAGTTCAAACGCTATTCTATAGAGAAAAGTCAATATTTATATAGTGTGTAAAAAAATATTGCTCAAATTGCTAATTAATAACAATAAAACGCGAAAAATTGAGATAAGGTGCTACCATGCAAATATTCCGTAAAATATGTTCGTTATTCTACTGTAACTTACTTCTAAGACAAGATGAAATGCATCGAATATGAAGAATTGTTATTATATTTCATCCTTCTCTTCTTCAGATGACATTTCTTCGGTAAAATATTGGTTGAGGAAGTTGGCAGGTGAATGTGTGGACGTCTGATGTCGAGCAAACCCCAAGTACCATAATACTGTTGCAACGTGTGAACAACACCCCGCTACACGTTGGCCTATTTTGCACTCACAAATATGTCCAACAATAATATATAAACAAAATATTTCACAGAATTGATGCGCCGTGTATTTGCGGTAATGTATTGTCAAAGATGTTGCTACTTGGAATCACCTGCCAATATATATTAATATTGAATCTGCTACTAATTCTTTATTGATTTGAAATTGATATCGTGGAGATCAATAGCACTTTACCTCATTTCGATTGATTTGAATGATAAAAAATTCGTTGGAAAATTATTATAAATGCTAACCTTTTTGGCGAATTTTTGTGCAACTTGCAATGCACAGTGATTCCAAACATTTGGCCGGTAGTGAATGCCATCACTATGTCCAAGTGATAAAGTCGTAAATCATGTTCCACAGCCAGTGCCATTAATAACCTTATTGAGGTCATCCTTGTCACGGGAGCGAAGGTTTCATTGCAATCCTCGCTAAATGTTTGTGAAAAACCTCTCGCTACCATTCGACTAAAGTCCAAGTTCCATTTCGTCTTAACGCATCAAACTCTCTTTTCATGACCAGTTTCCACGTTTCAGCATTTGAACCATTTCTTGCTTCTCGAGGGTTGTCTGTAAAATAAGGTTCCCAATGATTTTTCACAATGAAAAACATGTTTATTGGCATTGAATAATACATTTTTGGAAAGCTTAGACGTTCCCCTATTTTTCGATATAATCGCCGTTGAGATCAATACATTTTTGCATGCGGTGTACCATCTTCTTCATGCCTGAATCGTAGAACTCTCCCGCCGCGCCGCGAAGGTAGCTTAAAACCTCTTCTTTTAGCTCCTCTCCGGTTCTGAAATGCGTCTCACCCAGGTGTTTCTTCAATTCAGGGAAGAGATGGTAGTCACTTGGGGCTATGTCTGGGCTGTATGGCGGGTGTGTGACAGTATCCCATCCAAATTTGTTGATGAGATCGGTTGTTACACGGGCGATGTGCGGACGAGCGTTGTCCTGATGAAAACGCATTCCCTTCGTGAGCATGCCTCTCCTTCTGTTTTGAATCGCGCGGCGAAGGTTCTTCAGCGTCACACAGTAGCGGTCCGCATTGATTGTTGTACCGGCAGGCATGAATTCGCACAACAATAACCCCTTCCTGTCCCAAAAGACGGACACATTTATTCGGCAACTATATCAAGCCTTGGATAACATCTGTTCTGAGTCGATTCCCAGGAAGAGAAATGTGGGTAAGGCTGTCCCATGGTGGACGCCCTGTCTTACAAGAATGCGGGAGACCGTTCGACGGTATAAAAGAGCTATGGCTAGGGCGAAACGAATGGGCCTAGACACGGCATTTGTGGAGAACAGGGACCAATATCGTAAACATCGAAACAAATACGTAAACGAGATTAAACGACAAAAGACTGCTTCTTGGAAGAAGTTTGTTTTTGAGGAGGGGAACCGGGAACCCTGGGGAGTTCTGCACAAACTGATTCGCAATAAATTCAAGAATATTAGTAACATAGGCACAATCAAGTTAAACAATGGAGATATGACAAATACATGGCAAGAATCTGTTGAAGCTCTATGCAGAAAATTCTCACCACCTGATTGTATAGTATCTGAAAATCAGATACATCATAACATTAGAGAACTGAATAACTTGTATATAAATCACAATTTAGAACCAGACATTTCAGTTCAGGAAATAAGTAAAGCCATAAAAAGAATGAAGTGCGGAAAGGCCCCGGGCACGGATGGATTCCCTCCCGAAATTATTAAACGTCTATGGAAGTTAAGACCGGAGATTCTGGTCTCGGCTTTTAATAGGTGTCTCCGAGACTCCGCATTGCCAACGCAATGGAAAATTGCCAATGTTTTGGTGATTTCTAAGAACTCGGAAGTTGACCTCCATCTAGTAAATTCTTTTAGACCCATAGCTCTACTGCAAGTAATAAGTAAAGTTTTTGAACGAGTAATAGTAGACAGAATTCAGTTAAATTATAATGAGGCAAACCTTGCCAGTAACAATCAATTTGGTTTCAAAAAAGGTATGGGCACTGAGGATGCCCTTCTAAAGCTTAAGAATGAAGTCGCAAACACATCAAAGAAATACGTACTGGCCATTTTTGTGGATATAGTTGGAGCCTTCGATTATATTTGGTGGCCCGCGATAATTGCTCGGCTCACAAAAGCGAATTGTAGTTCATCAATAATCAATTTAATTTTAAACTACTTTAAAAACCGGAAAATTCAAATAAGAAGAAACCACCAATGTTTCACGCACCAGGTCGAAAGAGGCTGCCCTCAAGGCTCTATTATAGGGCCGGCAGCATGGAACTGGTCCTTGGATCAGTTCCTAAATAATTTTTCATTGAACTTCAACCCAGAGAGTCTTCAGACTATTGCGTATGCCGACGACATAGTTTTTATAATAAAGGGTAATTCCAGGGCCGAACTGGAATGCCTTGGTAGCAGAGCCATCGACACATTCCAAGATTGGTGTGATCAAAATAAATTAACCATTTCGGACAAAAAGACAGTGGCTGTGCTACTTAAGGGGAAACTAGACACCCGACGACCACCAAGCATCAAAATAAACCAAAACACAATAAAAATGTCAGCACAACACAAATATTTAGGACTAATTATTGATTCACGAATGAATTTTATTACTCATGTAAAAAGGTTAAGGGAAAAACTAGTTAAATACATTATGTCGCTAAAGCGCTGTGCGAATGAAACCTGGGGTATAAAAAGGCCGATCTTAAATATTTTTTATAAGGCAGTCTGCCTACCAATTATTACGTACGGATCATTAATTTGGTACGACAAAGCCAGCTCATCTGGCGCTTTAAGGCATCTAAACTCGTTACAGCGCAGTATTTTAATTGTTTTAATAAAAGCTTGCCGCACTACATCTACTGCCGCAATGCAGACTGTGTCGGGTTGTCTTCCAATCGACCTAGTCATAATCCAATATGCACTAAAAAGAAGATTAAAAAGGAACCTAAATATAAGTTGCTGCACCTCAACTCCGCAGAAGAATCGGACGTGTCTTATGATACGAAATGTCTCCTCATAGAAAACGCCATAATGGACGAGTGGCAGAGAAGGTGGAGTAGCAATATACATGGACGTGACACATACCATTTCTTAAAGGATGTTACCTTCCACAAGGAAAGGCCGTGGTTCCAACCACCTAGATTAAGTGTATATATAATAACCGGTTACGGATTTATAAGACACTCGCTCCACAAACGAGGACTAATTGCAACTGAAACATGTCCTGCGTGCGGCGCAAATCCAGAAACAGTTGAACATATTATATTTCATTGTACAAAATACCAGCAATATAGATTTTCGCAAATAAATACCTCCGCAGCTAACTGGACAAAATTAATAAACACAAAAAGTGATTTCGTGCTATTTAATAATTTTATAAACAATATATATGCAGAGCGTAAGAAATATTTAGACACACAAACATTAATTACTGAAACTTCTATACCAACAAATTGAAATTACACAATGCAGCTTTTAACGTACACTTTATGAAAACTCAAGCATCGATTCTCAACACTTTCTCGGCTAAATTGGTACAAGATAAAGTATCTCAATTTTGCACGAACTAAATTTGGAAAAAGAAAAAGAGAATAGTGAAGAAAAGAAAAATCGAGACGCATAAAAAGGATAATGAGTACAAAGAAACCATGTAATATAAATAGTAAGATCAATAATTACCACGAGAGAACAGAAAGTAGCAGGCCTGCCTCCTCGCGGCTAGGGACGGGAACGCACGGTGCAAACCTTGCGGCTAAATGGCCTAATAGAAAAAATAGAATAGTTGGAATACAAAGCATGAACAAAGAATAACACTACTGTTGAAGAAAATAAATAACAACATAAGAACGACGCAGTGATGAGATGAAATCTCGCAAACTGCAAGACAGGTAGTGAACGAAATAAAAAAAAAAAAAATGTCCCAAAAGACGCCGCAGGGGGGTACCGAAGGGTACCTAGGGGCTTGGCGATCCCCCGATACCGGAGCTGGTTTACCATTACTGAGTGGGGTGAGGTTCCCTCCAATGGTAGTGGTGTTGGTGTCCACCCACGCACATCCCACGGATGATGTAGACGGTACCTCGGGCCGGCCGGCCTTACCAAGCCACGTCCGGGGCTGCGGCGGGCGTACCCGCCCTCCCCTGACCATCCGGGCTGGGCCAGCAGGGGTTTACGCCAGTGTGGCGCGGGCACCTGCGGCCACAGCGCCGGGGGCTGGCCGGGTGTGGTGTAGGTTTCGAGGGGGCAGTGGTTAGGCCGCATGCTGGTCAGGAGCCCTTTTTCTAGGCTCCGACGTGTGAGTTGCGAACAACTCCGGTACCAATCTGGAGAATTGGTAGAGTGTTGGAAAGTCGCTCCGCGCCACCCGTAGCGTGGGGATTCCTCCTCACAAGGACCCTGAACGGGTAGGCGGATGACCTGTACCCCTTGAGGGTCTAGTTGGACGACCGCGCTGATTGGGCGTATCTCAATCCCACGCCCCATGGGGGGCCGTGTGGGTAGGTCTAACGGTAGAGTACCACACGTAAAACAAACACCTGATAGTGTCCCAAAAGACGTTCGCCATAACTTTGCCGACAGACAGTGTTTGTTTGAACTTCCGCGGCTTCGGCGACTCTGGATGTTTCCACTGACGGGATTGTTGTTTCGTTTCCGGTGTTGTGTAGTGGACCCAGGTCTCGTCTCCAGTAACAATAGAGTCCAAGAAATCCTCGCCATCGGTTTCGTAGGCCTGAAGAAATTCGCGAGCCGCTTCAACACGTTGCCATTTGTGGTCTTCCGTAAGCATTCTCGAGACCCACCTTGCACAAACCTTGGCATATCCTAAATGGTCTGTCAAAATTGTGTCAATACAGGTCTTGCTGACATCAGGGATCATTTCGCAGAGCTCCCGAACCGTCACCCTTCGATCTTTCAGCATTGTTTCTTCCACTTTCGCAATCGTTTCGTCCGAAACCGATGGCCGTCCAGAACGCTGTTCGTCATGGACGTCTGTACGTCCGTCTTTGAATTCTCTGCACCATTTGCGCACGTGTTGTACGCTCATACACTTTTCTCCGTAGACTTCACACAGTTGGGAATGAATGTCCACCGGCGCAGTGTTTTTTGCACACAAAAAACGAATCACAGAGCGTAATTCGCACCTAGCGGGAGAAGCGAGTGAGAGCTTCATCTCTAACGGATGCCAAGCCAAGGCTTAGCGTCGCAGACAGCTCGCCGGGACGGGGACTGGGAGAGGGGGAACCAAGTTACACGACAGTGTCGCCGGATTCCGCGTAACAGCGTTCCTCGCGAATGCAGCTCCTTGGGAACCTTATTTTACGGACAACCCTCGTATTTATTCTATATTCCTAAGCGACTGTTAAGTGTTCCGGCGTCCGTCTCGGTCGACGGCTATTTCCAGAGTGTCCTTTCCGCGTCGTATCCCACGTTGCTCCGAAAAACCGTTGGAATCCCCCCGTTCGACTTTCCGGGGAAAGGGCTTAGTTTATGGGACCCTCAGGTACCCGCGCGCTTTCTCTTCCTGGGTGACAAAGTCCAGGCCACCACTTCGCCGCCGGAATCTCGCATTTCTTACAAAATGTTTATGATACGTGATAAAAGGCCCTTCGGTACCAAGCGGAGTTGTAGACAATATTAGGGCGTTGCGTAGGAGCATTCTCAGTCCGTAGACAGTGGTCTTACCATCAAGTAGAAAAGCGAACCTTGTGTCCAATAAAAGGTTTATAGTTTAAAATAAGGATTATTAATTATTTAACCATCAATAACTCCCATAATCCAATAGAAGGGACTGCAAATGTCAATTCCTATTGTTTGAAATGGACGGGTTAGTGTTACTCTATCTTGCGGTAAATTTCCCATCAAATACCGCGGTGTCTTGGGATTTAATTTGCAACACCGAATGCAATTATGTATTATGCGCTTGGTAACACTTTTACCATTTATTGACCAATACTGTTGCCTGACCGCATATAAGGTGGCTTGCGTACCGGCGTTCCAATGACATAAATGCGTTTGTCTAACAATTAAGTCGGTTATATAGTGTCGATGCGGTAGTACAATGAGATGTTTTTGAGTGTACCTAAGCGGAGCGTGCTTTAGCCTACCCCCGACCATAAGGATACCGCTGTCGTCGACGAATGGGTTTAAATTCAGTAGCCCACTTTTTTTATTGAGAGGTTTACCCTTTTCTAAATTGTGCATTTCAATCTCGAATGTTTCACGCTGTGTTAGATGTATGATGCGATTATGTGTGGCGCGAATTTCCTGCAGTGATAGGGTTCCGGTGAGTTTACTATTATTCTTTCTTGTGTTGTTAAGGAAACGTAGAATGTATGCGACTATTTTGTTTAGGAATTCAATGCACGAGTATTTCTGTAGTAAGTTTCCTACATTTGTTTGAGCAGGTAAGGCGATGACCTGTCCTTTTTCTGGCACTTGAATGGGTTCTATGCTACTAATAGGCCAGAAGGCACTATCCTTTGCTAATCAGCACGGACCGTTTAACCATAGTGTATTTTGCATGAGTTTCTGACTGAATCTCACTGGCCCTGTTCGCCACGAAAGTTTTGAGCATGTATGGTGGAATTTTAATCTAGTGTAATATGATGATTGAGTGCGACCAAAATCTGACTTTATTGATTATGACGTTTGTTAGCCCTTCCGTATAACCGATGAGATGGACACGGAGAGAAATGAAAGGATAGCGATATGTATGTGTAGTCTGACTCACCAATTACGAGGTCACCGGTAACGCTGTTGTCGTACGATGACTCGCTGAAGACTCTCCCTTGGACGCGTTGAACGCTGAATTTTAAATTTTGAAACAGACGCTGAATTATCTGGGGGGATGAAAATGAATTTATCTTCTTGGATGTGACACCGTGCATTTATTAAACATTCGAATATGTTTTTAAATTCTAATTTGTCAAAATGTGCGCGGGTAGGGACTAGCATAAAAATAGTTTGTTCGTGATTTCTCAACTTGCAGACACCGTTTATCATGGGCGCTATATCGTTAATATTGAATTTATCTCTGATATATTTCGAATATTGATTATGTTCGTTAAGATCTTGAGACCAGAATAAAAAGATCTTAATTATTTCATCTATAGTAATTATTTATAGAACTGAATATATAAATATGAATATTTATTTAATAAATAAATACTTATATTTAGTTATTATATTCCTAATATCTATAATTCTTATAATCATAAGTCCTAACATATTAACCATTATACTAGGCTGAGACGGCCTAGGATTAATTTCTTACTGTTTAATTATTTTTTATAATAACATAAAATCTTACAGAGCAGGAATATTAACAGTAATTTTAAATCGAATTGGTGATTCCAGACTAATTATTATAATTTGTATAATAATTAAATTCGGAAGATGAAATCTAATATTATATAAAATTGATAAAATCATAATAATTATACTAATTATTATAGCCTTTACAAAAAGAGCTCAATTACCCTTTTCAAGATGATTACCAGCTGCAATAATAGCACCAACTCCCGTCTCATCTCTAGTTCATTCATCAACATTAGTAACAGCAGGTGTATACTTATTAATTCGATACAAACCTATTATAATAAACAATTATAACGAATACCTTTTATTAATTTCAAGAATAACTATAATAATTTCAGGTTTAATAGCTAATTTTGAATGTGACTTTAAAAAAATTATTGCCCTATCAACTCTTAGACAGCTAGGATTTATAATAAGAATCCTATTTATAAATATAGAAAAGTTAGCATTTATACATCTAATAATTCATGCAATATTTAAATCACTAATATTTCTATGCACCGGTAGATTCATTCACTATATAAATAGAAGACAAGATATTCGAGACTATAGAGGCATAATAAAAATTCATCCACTAAAAAGAATAATTATAACATTTTCAATATTATCTCTTTGTGGTTTTCCATTTCTGTGTGGATTTTACTCAAAAGACCTAATTATAGAATATTTTTTTATCACGGAGCTCCGCCTTGAGGGCGTTCATTTTGGCCTCCACTATTGAGGCCACTGCCTGCAATAATTTCTCCTCCCGACTTTGTGCGGTGTCGGGGAGGGGAAGCTCCTCCTCCTCGCTCCTTACGGGCGAAGGCTCTACGTCCCTCCTCTTCCCCGCCCTTCGCCACAGTATCATCCCCTGCTCCTGCTGGGGGCGGGACTTCACCGCCGCCGCCTCCCTCTCTACCGCCATCTCCTCCATGGCGGCCGTCATCTGCTCCATCTGGGGCAGCGGCGACGGTGGGCGTGGCGATTGCTGTCGTCCCTGAGTCGAAGATTTGGGGGCGGCTTTCAGCGCCTTCAATTTGCGGCCTTACTCCGCGATTACTTCAGCTAACCGCCCAACCTGGGCGGTCAGCTCCTCCACCGTCTTGCGGAGCTCTGCGTTTTCTTTCTCGAGCACAGAGCTCGGCGCCGTCGACGTTGTCCGCTTGCCGATCTCTCCAGCGTGTGTCCGGCACAGTATGGACGCCTTCCATGAAAATGCATTGAAGTAAATGGAAATCATTTTGAACATTTGTTAGAATAAAGATTTTGCCCAAAAAACACTGAATATTCACTTGCCAGTTCTTTTTTGAATTATTATGATTTTTTTCATTCAAGATCATTTCAAGGTCGTGGTGTTGTATACCTTTGAATTCGTCTTGATGTCCACTACAATATTGCATTACAGAAGACACACGTTAATCTGCAAAAAAATGACGATGACCTTGAAAATCGGGAATGGAAACGACCTTGCCAAAAAATTCACAGATCACAACATTCCTCATTCTAAGCCCAACAACTTTGTCCTCACACAATTTTGCGTATCGGTAGGGGTAATGAAGATATTAACGAATCCATGTTAAATGGAACACTCTGTATACAATGTGGCGTCGTGCGCGCTGCATGGGCCGCCACATCACCCCTCTTCGTGAAATTAGGGGTGCGCTCGCGTTTGAAACTATCGACATTGTACATGGATTATTTACATATGTGCAACTTAATTTGACTATTTACAATCTTAAATCTAAGAAACGTGCTATGGTTTGTCGCTTGTACGCATTGCAACGTATGTATATACATACATATTATTCACGCATACATATACCGTGAATCTGTAGCTGTGTAGCTCGCAGAGACAAGCTTCTCGTTTGATTTTTCTCCCAAGCTGAACTGTTCGTTGTGTGCTTGAATTCGATGTAAGGAAAATGAATAAACAGGTGCGTAACTGACGTTAAAACTTCATTCGTGTGGGTTCGCTTGGTTCAGTGAAGATGCACCCGCGCGAGCGAACAAATGCGTACGCGTGACTTCTCGGTTCTCGATAGCTGTCAAAAAACTTTCACTTTGCACTGCTGTTTTTATAAGGCTTAGAGAAATGGTTTTTGGCCGTCATTCCGACGTTTGTATAAATTTGTGAAAAATGCAATTAGTCTGAATCGCGAAGAAAATAGCGAAGGTCGTTTTTACAACTTTTTTATCTGAGCTCGAAATGAAAATCTAAAAAATACGTTTTGTAGATCTATGTCAATGATACACGTGCTGATAATTTCATCGAAATTGGTTAATGTTTCTATGAGCTACAAACGGTTAAAGATGATGAAAATCGCACTATCACGACTTTCGGCGTAAAACTGTAATAAATCTGCAGATTCTTACATCTTTCGATGCCTGTTGCTTGTTTCTCCATCAACAGATTACGATGAAATTTTCAGCGTGTGTGTAATTGACATAGATTTACAAAACGTATTTTTTTTCTTTTTCATGAATAACAAGTAAGTCGTTTAATAACTGTGTTCGGTACTTTTATTCGTTATCCGAAAGCAATAAAGTGTTTTATTACTTCTGAAAAACTTACCCATTCGTCCACGAATTAATCTGCTTCGACCGAACTGGGTCAGTGTG